ATTCAAGCAACTCTATGGAGCCACTGGAACTAGCTAAAGACAATATCCCTTTTAATTGATTACACCAGTGTACAATTACCAAGAGAAAACAACAACCCTTGCTACATTATCTGATAATAGTATGCAATTTCAGTGCCCCCTCATTATAAGACTCTGTTGTAAAGTTAGCATTGTCCTAAGTTATTGTACTTTGAGCTCTTGCTCCACTGAAGAGAAATATAAACTCTGGCTGTTTCAGGCATTTTGCTGCTGCCCTACATGGTGATACCTCAGCCTAAAAAAAGAATAGTCACAGTATTAAACTAAGAGGCTGAAGAAATTAAATTTTCATTCACACCACTAGAGATTTTCTCATAAATGTGTTTCAATTTCCATTTTCAGTGCACGTTCCACTTCATCCCACTCATACATTCACTGCATAAGGCTATTGCCAAAACAGTCCAGTCTACACAAGACATAGCCAAAGCTATCAAGTGGTGCACTGAAGAACAACACAAATACTTTCAGGTGGATGAGATTCTTGGAAAGAGGACTACTTAACTTGATTCCATTATTTTAATTAGAACAGTGCCTAACATTTGCATTTACAAAATATCTAGAACAGGGGTGGACAATTATTTGGGCCCAGGGGTCACATAGGGAGTTTTGGGGAGCTGTAGGCTGGGTTACCATGTAACAGCTCACCAAACCATGCAACAGCTCACCAAACCTCCCCTATATGGGATGGGGCCATGGGCAGGAAAGTTGGTAGGGAGCTGGCACAGATGCGGACAGGCAGCAGCCTCAGCAGAGTCCGCTCAGCTGGGGGCCCTGCTACCACTAGGGCCAGCTATGAGCTGCCCTTCTACCCTGAAGAGGGGCTAGAGCTGCTGTTCGGCTTCAGCATCAGTGGTCTGGGTGGCGGCAACAATGGCTGGGAAGAAGCTGCTGCTGGGCATGGCAGCAGGTGCAAGTGCCTCCCCATCACAACTCATGGCCCTTTTTGCTGCAGCCACCTGCAGCTCCTCCCTGCCACAGCCACCCTGCCAAACATGGGGACCTGGGGCAGCCTGGAGGTAGCACCAGTGGTATCAGTGGCAGTGGTGAGGAGTTGCAGAGCATCCCTGGCATGGTCTCTGGGTAGCTGCAGTGAGAAGGGCCTGGAAGCAATGAATGGGAGGTGGCCACACCTGCTGCCAGGTCCCACTTTTTCCTTGCACCCAGCAGCAGCTTCTGTCTAGCTGCTGCCACTCATAGTGGCCAGGGCGGGGGGGGTCAGAAGAAGAGATGAAGGGGCCCCCGGGCTTTTGTCTGGCTGCTGCCACTCATAGTGGCCAGGGCGGGTGGGTTCAGAATAGACACTGCAGGGACCCCGACCCACTGAATGGGGAGGACTGGATTCAGGTCTGGGACCAGGGCCAAGGCTGGGGGTGGGTCTAGGGCTGAAGCTACAAGCCCAGCTTGGAGCTTGGGCCCTGCCTGCATGGCTCCCGGCTGGTCTCCATGGGACCCGGGTTGGTAGTGGCCGTCAGGAGTAGCCACCACCAGGGCTGCCAGGAAATGGAGCCCAACTGTGGAGCTGCTCCAGCCCTACTGCATTCCCAGGGGCGGTGGGATGTATCCTGGGCCAGTTGGCACCTGGGTCAGATGGGACTGAGAGAGCCATTGGGCTGGATAAAGTCCCTCCATGGACAATATTTTGCCCACCTCCTGATTTAGAAGCTAAACTACTACCACGTATTGCAAATTCTTGTGAATAATGCCCTGGAATTTCTTTGGTATGGTGGTAAACCATTACACACAGACTGTAAGAGGCAGAGACTGTGTTTATATAAAATGGTATATTGCACCTTATATAATGGAGCCCTGACTCACTTTTGGGGGAGGTGGGGTCTGGTCATTACCAATGTATAAATAAACTGTTACTATTATAAATAAAGCAGAGCTAATAGCCCCACCTATATTTTACAAAGCAAATGTTATTTATAATTTGGCATATTCTGGACAATGAGAGTTATTCTTCTAACAAACGCTACACAGTCACCCAAAGAGATGTGCAAGTATCTTTCTGAGCAATAGCCATGCCTGAAATGCTTATACACTGACAGCCCAGGCCAAATTGCAGAAACAAACACCATGCATTGTTAGACAAAAAAGGTTTAAATAGTCAGTGAAGCATAGGAGGTATTTAGCAAACTTTTGCAGCTTTTCAAATACCCAAAAGCCTTTCACTTGCCTTAACAGTCTCAAGCGCCCTGCCAATATGCCAACAGCTTTCAGAATGTCACTAACCCAGAATGGCCCCAATTTGGCAAACATCTTAGACAAGCAAATGTGTAAGTTTCACTGAACTGGATTCTTAGTGTTAACATGCCTCTTTTCTGTACATAGTTTCTAGTTACAAATGAAAATCAAATCTTAAGACTTTGTTTCAAAATTACAGCATTTCTTGGAACAGCATTTTTGTAGGGCAGGAATGGCTTTCTGTACAGGGGCAAGTCTATTTACACCCAGGAAGGGAACCGTGAGACCTATCAAGTTAGCCAAGAAGTTTCAGGGGAGAAGGGTAGTGACAGAAGCCATGTGCATTTTTCAGTGCAAAATTTGGGGCAGAGTTAAAAATAAAAAAAAGCATGGCAATCTCAAAGTTTTCAGGTTAGCTCCCTTGTGTATTATGGAGGCAACATGCAGAGAACTGTGAAAGTAGCACAAGGGATGTGTCCTAGTGGAAAACTTTCCAGTTCACCTCCAACCCTAAAACACTTCCTCCCCTCCCAAGTATATATATTACAGAAAACAGAGATGGAGCACATACAAGGGTGCCCACATTTTCCAAAAGTGGTGTTTTCTGGGAGACTGTTCACAATAGCGTCAGAGGTCAAGCAAAAGCACGGTCCTGAACTGTGCAACGACCAGAAATTCCCTGCAGTGTAAAACAGGCTGCTCTGGCGACTTGGGGAATGAGGATGTGCAGCAAGTGCAGAAAGATGGGTTGGTAAAGAGTGGAAAAAACTGATCGTGGGCAGGGTGGGGCCAAGGCAGCAGTCTTATCCGGCCAGACAAAGAGGTGCGTCTCTGGACTACTAACGACGCCCAAGAGTTGTGAGCAGGGCTGAAGCTACCCGAGAGGATGGTGCGTCAGGAGCTCTTGCGGACACTGCACGGAGCCCGGGCCTAGGGTCAGACCCGAGGAGTGGCCGCGTGTAGCGGCGCGCAGGGAAGAGCTCTCCGCAGTGCTGGGCGCGGAGCTGTCCTCGGTGCTGAAAGGGAGTGCCCTGGGCGCGCTGGCGGCGGGAGCTGCCCTTGGTGCTGAATCGCGGGGCGCAGGGGCGGGGGCAAGCAGTGCAAGACGGCACTGGAGAGTTGGGTGACGGGGGGGGAGGTTTATCCAGCAAGCACTACCAGTCCGGGGTAAGAAGCCGCTAGTAGCTGAGCTCCTTGAGACGCTGAACCCAGAGCAAGAGACGATCACATGGCGACACCCCCCGCCCGCACCCTCCCGCAGCGAATAAAGCCCGG